CCCAGGCACCAGAATTAAGGGGCCCTCCCAAAGCTTGGAGAAGGGAATTTAGGGAAATAAGAGGCCATGCTGTTCCTCCCAGCAGGGAGGAAGGAAGCATATGGCTCTCCTTACCTGGAGAGGTAGTGAGGCTCAGAATAGAAATAGTCAGGCAAGGCAGAGGCAGCTGCAAAGAGATACCTGCAGCTCATACTGATTTGCTGGTGAAGAAAGAGCTGGGGCAGTGTGGGGAGGGGTGGAGCATGATCCCTTGGGCTTGGGTTCAAATCCAGGCCCTACCTGCTTACTCTGTGATCTCGGTCCTGTTACTGTGTCTCTCTGTGCCCGTTTCTTCATCTACACAAAGGGGAAAGTAATATCTCTATTGTTATACAGTAAGAATCCTAGTGTGTCTTAGACAGTGCCCTAGTGTAGCAGCAGCAAGGATTCAGTGAAATCCCAGGCATGCTCAGTACGATGCCTCCCACTATAAATCTCCATAGATATTAGCCATCCCTCCCTGTGACTGTAATCCCACTGGGCAGGAGTTAAACATTCATTGAACAGATGAAGAAATTGAAGCTAAGAGAAACCAGAAGACCTCGTCTCACACCACAGACTCCTCAGGTGCAGAGACAAGGCCAGAGCCCCAGCCCCTCACTGCTGGACCTGGCAGTTTCTGCTGGCTTCCTTCTTTCCGTGGATGCTCTGGGAACCTACCCCAGGCCAGGCTTGCCTTCCAGAGCTACCAGCCTGGGAAGACAGGTAAGATCCACTGTGTTCTGCCATGCAATAGCAGGCAGGTGCTCCATGCTAGCTGACAGATGCAGCCAGGCAGGCAGAGGTGAGCTCTCCCAAGGTAGAGCCTGTGGAGCTCTAGGCATCTAGGGATTCTGCACTATTGGATACTCCCTCTGCACTGGCTTCTAGCTAAACCTTTGAATTATCCCTTCTCTAGTTCCGGGGATTTAGGTCAGTGGTTCTGGTGCCTGCCTTGCAAGAGCAAGGTCCCAAGTTCGATCCCCGGAACGAAAAAAAAAAAGAATGAATTATCCCTTCTCTTCTTGCCAACAGTCCCATGAGTTAGGTGTTACAGGTGGGGAAACAGGCTTACAGAGGTCACGTGATTTTTTCCCCAGAGTCACAAAGCAGGGCTAGGCCTGAGCTGGGGCTCATATGTTGATCAGACAGCCTTCAAATTCGTGCTTTTAACCACTATGCTAAACTACCAGGCTTAGAAAGATGGCTAGAAGCTTGACATGCTGACAGAAAAAAAAAAAAAAATGAAAAGCATCCCAAGCAAAGCACAGGCAAGGCCGGAAGTAATCTGTCCCTCTGCAGCCACCCCAGCCCTGCCCCACCTCAAGGCTCGGCCTGGACACCATGCCCACCAAGTCTAAATACTTGTGCAGGATGGGGATGGCCCTGCATCCTAGTCCAGGCCCTGCCAAAGCCATGGTGAGCAGCCCTTGCCTGGCTTTCCAAGCAGAGACACACACGCAGGCAGGGACAGCCCACAGGGCTCGCTCTTCCTGTGCCCAGCTTTTCAAAAGCACAATTACTCGCCCTTCAGAGATGCTGTCAGTGTGGGTAAACTCCAGCCGCTAAACCGCATTACACTGATCTCTGCAGAAACCTTTGCAGATATTAATAGTTTATTGATCTCGGCCCATTGCTGATGAGAGGGAGCTTTCCCCCGCCCTCTCGGTCCCTGCTGCCTGTGGAAGGAAGGCCTTCTATCCAGCATGCAGATCGATGCCACTGGCTTCTGGGGAAAGGAGTCTCTGGGCCACTTAATCCACTTTAGCAGGACAAGAGTGCAGGGGAAAGCTCAGGTTTTGATGAGGCACCGAGAAGAGGCGTATTGGTCGGAATCAAAGCTGGGACCTGGCAGCTGTTGGATCCAACATGAGAACCAGAGTCTGCCTTGGAGTGGGGAGGGGGACGGGGCTGCGCCTGGACTCGTAAGATGGTGGCGGTGGGCAGGGCGGGCCCGGGTGTACAGGGTTCTCTATGATCCTGGCTACTTTTCTGTAATTCTGAGTTCCAAAATAAAATCACACAGGAACCTGGCACTATGAGGGGTGCATGGAGGGCATTGTGGCCAGGAGAAGGTCAGAAGCTGGAGCCAGAGGTGGGGAGGGAGCCAGGGCTGGGCCAGTGTATGGGGATCCTTGGCTTTGTCACAACCTCAACTGCAGAGAGGCTTTGGAAGGGATTTAGGTCCAAGAACCACTGCTCTCACCTGCATTTGAAAAGACCCAGATTGTACCTGAGAGCTGCTCACGAGGGAGACTGGCAGGTGAGAAAGTCCAGCAAACCCTGGGCCTCAACACGGTGAGACAGAGGGGCAGGGGAGACGGGGACCTGAAACGCCTGGGGCTTGGTCACTGACGGTTTGGGGAGGTGGACAGGGTAGGTGTCAAGGATGATGGCAAGTGTGTGACAGGTTAATGGCCAAGAGTGGGCCACTCACGTGCTGGGGAGCCTGGGGTACAGGGGAGCGAGGGACATGTTGTGCGGTAGAAATAGTCCCAGGTGGGCTGCTGTCTTCTGCCTAAGCCACTAATCCACGTATCCCCTGAGCCGTCTTCTACAACATCTGTGTGGTGCCCCCATTTGTGTTACCAAGCAAATTGCTTATTTTACTGTCACCTGAGCATGTCATCAGCGTAGCAGTTCCTAAGCATGTCACCTGCGACACTCTCACATAAACACATCTGGTTATATCACCTATGTGATGGTTACCTGCATGGGTCCACCTGTGTATCAACTGTGTCATTATTCTCTTATGACATCACTGGGGAGCTGCCGGCTACACAGGTCCCCTGAGGCTGTTTCTTCACATGCTCCCTGTCCTGGTCTCCTACGGAAGTTACTTAAGCAGGTTGCCTCTCTAACAGACACCTGTGAGTGTCACCTAAACATGTCACTCTAGGTGACTGTCACATGGTAACGGTGCCCAAGCAAGAAGACTATGTCCTCAGTCTGGCTCAGTTGCAAACATAGAAAATTGTTCCTGAGGGGAGACAGGTCCCCTGCTGTTCCCACTGTCACCGTGCTTTCTTCTGGGAGGACAAGCAGAGGAGGTGGGAGAGTCTTCTCCTGAAGATTCCCCTGACAAACAGGACGCTTCTTTCTTCAATAACAGCGGGGAGACCAGATGTCAACCTCTGTGTGTTCTATGCAAATGAGGGTGTTGTTTATACTAATCTGTGCTGGGCGGTGCAGAGGGGAGGGGTGCCCAGGACTGGCTCAGCTCCATGTGACAGCAGCAATGGGGGTTGGCGAGGCTAGGGACACAGTGAGTCACAAGGAAAAGGAGATGGGAGGCAGGGATGGGGTGGGGGAGGCCGAGATTGCATAGATCAGCAGAAGTAGATGAAAGAGAAAGAGAAGCTCAGCCGAGTGTGGCTTTCTGCTGTCACTGGAGAAGCTCTAAGACCCACAAGACTCACAGCACTCTAAGTTGGAACTAGCACAGGCTGGAACTCGTGGGGGGTCACCCACCTGTCCTCCATGCAGCTCTGACATGGCTTCTACAGTTCAGCAGATCCCACTGGCCTGGAACTCCCTGTCCCCACAGGATGCCATAGGACACCAGACACACGGAGGCCCTCTGTCCATTTGGGCACAATGCTCCTGCTCACATTCTTGGGATGCATTGCAGCCAATCTTCATTGCAGTCCTATGGAGCATCACCTTTTATTTATTTATTTTTTTAATGCAGTACTGAGGACTGAACCCAGAGCATTTATCCCCTGCTGATTTAAAAAAAAATTTTGCATTTTGTTTTTTCATATTGAGATAGGATCTGGTTAAGTCACCTCCAGTTTTAAGATAATGGAAATAGAGGAAGCCAGAGGGAACATGACTTCCCTGAAGTTCATGGATGCAAATACAGGAGCAGAATTTGAACATGATTCCTCTCTTGGGCACCACATTAAAGCTTTTAAGACTTTTCTTTCAGTAGAGGAGTCAGGATAGAGCCACTCTGTTTGCCCTTTTCATGGGGCAAGAGAACAACATACTGACTCACTTTAGCATGATCTGACCATGGAAAGATCTAGAATGGGGGTCATCATACTACAGGGTGTAGCCAAACACAGCCCTTTGCCTAGGTTCCCCCAATCTGTGAACTGAGGATGTTTTTAACATGTTTAAATGGTTGGGGGGAAAAAAGAAAACCAGACTATTTCATGGTGCATGAGAATTATCTGAGCTTCAAATTGCAATGATTGTCAAAAAAGATTGATTAGAACCCAGCACACCGGCTCCTGAGCTCATGGTCTGGGGCTGTCTTTGTGCCATGGAACAGGGTTGAGCAGTTCCCACACAGACTGCGAAGGCAGCAGAGCCTAAACTACTTGCTCTATGGCCTTGTAGAGGAAGAGTCACAGGGCTACAGCACAGTGACTGGCCTCCCTCACTCCTTGTTCTTGGGATGAGGAGTCCCCCTGAAGAGAGTTCTGTTGTCCTCTTTTGCAATGTCCCCAGGGGATGTGGAGACAGAAAGTCAAATTGTATCATCTTAGTTCTTATCAGGTGTCTGGACCAGGGGCATAACACCCCCTCTTGTGCCTCAGTTTCCCTGTTTATGAAGTGGGAGTACTGATCTGTGCGTGGACCGAGGTCATGGGGGATGAGTGAGGCCACACCCACTGTGAGCCTGTGCTGTGTGCTGGCTGTGCGCTGAGTGCAACATTTCTTCCCTCTTCCTCACACCCCACGTGTGGTGCATTATCAACCCAACAGCTGAGTGACTGCCCCAGGGCCCCTGGGCATAGACTTGGCTCCGTGGAAACATACAATGCACCTCCACCCTTGGCAGCATGGAGCATGGGGTCTGTATACAGTCGGTGCTCCATGGGTGTCGCTTCTCCTCCCAGGCCAGTGCAGGGGTGGCGGGTGTCATAGTCTTGCACGGAGGCTACAAGAGTGGGCGTTAGGTTGGTTTCCCAGAGCACTGCCCCTCCAGCCTCACTATGCTGGGACTCACCTTGTCCTCTGCCTCCCCTCAGGCTGCCCGAGGTCCGGATCTCAGACAATGGTCCCTACGAGTGTCACGTGGGCATCTACGACCGCGCCACCAGGGAGAAGGTGGTCCTGGCCTCAGGGAACATCTTCCTCAATGTCATGGGTGAGTACAGATCAATGCCCCAGTGTCACGGGAAGGAAGGGTGTGTGTGTGTGTGTACATGTGAGCGTGCACAGAGCATGTGAAGAACACCCATCCTGGGGGACTATTGTACTGGTAACGGACCCTCTTCCTTCTTCTGCCCTTGCCCTGGAGTGGCACAAGGCCAGGCCAGGCCAGGCCAAGTGTGGCTGGCTGTGAGACCCGGCCCAAGATGATCTCCTCTATGTGACCTTCCTCCTGCCCTCGCTGGGCCCTGAGCTGGGAGAGACGCCGAGCTGACCTCATCCCCAGTCCTCACATGCCTGGCAATTGTGGGGCTCTGACCCAGAATGCATGAGTGACTGAGGAAGGATGACAGGCCCCAGGGAAGCAGGCAGGCTCTGGGCCTCAGTTTCCATTTCTGTAAGGTGGGTAAGAGACACGGGCCTCTTGGGTCACCACGGACCACCCAGATCTAGGCTCAGTGGCCTGACAAGGACTCAAGGAAGGACACAGGCTGTGCCTGCCACTGAAGCCACAGTTTCTCTCCTGGGCTGCAGCCAAGAGCCCGCAGTAAAGACCTCTGAGGGGAAAGTGCATTCTGGGTGCCCCTGCGGGGACCATCAGAGGCATCCCAAGTCACCCTGCCCCAGGATAGCCATTCGTCCCATGCCCAGAGGCTCCTCCCTGACCCTCCCAAGGCCATCTGGAGATGTCGAAGGAAGGGCCAGTGATGAATGAGAAAGAGGCTGGGCACAAGGATCCTGAGTTCTCACCTTTGTCTCTGGGCCTCCATTTATACATCTGTAAATTGGGGATAATAACACTAGTGTCTGTCTCTTGCTGGGTTGTGTCCATGGGCAAGTTAATCCCCACCCCAGCCTCAGTTTCTCCATTTGTAAAACAAGGGTGTTGCTCTGAGCAATCTCAGGACCGCCCCCAGCTCTGATGCTCTTGTCAGGAGCACTCTGCCAGCTCTGCCACAGGAACACTGGGACTCGGCTTTGATGCTGGGCTCCGTGTGATCGAATTTTCTTATCAAATAATATTTACTAGAGAAGCAAAGCCTGCTGTCATCAGCAATCGATGAAAGCACAAAGGCCCTGTTGAAAGCCCCTGATCTGGGGAAATTGAAATCCTCCAACCTCCAAAGGGGCATTGATCCCATGGTGGTGGCACAGGTGTGCTAGGGCTTCCAGTGGAGCCAAGGTGTGAGGACGTGGCATTGCCAGGACTGACTCTTACAGTGGCTCACTCCCTGGCCAGCTCCTCTGACACATGAGCCAGGAGCCTTCTTGGGCTTGGCCGGGAACTAGCAAGGAACAAATCTCAGTTTGCATCATGAAGGGGCTCCCGGTGTGATGAGACATGTGCACTCAACAATCTGTTTATCAAATATTGATTGAGCACTTACTGTGTGCCAGGTAATGGCAGCTAGTTTGTGGAGGGGGGATGCACAGAGACAGCAAGTGACTTCCCTAAGGTCACACAGCTGAGATCACAAAGTCTTCCTGTGGTAACAGGAGGCTCTCTGTTGCTGCCAGATACAGGGTAAGGCTGACCCTGGAAATTCAGGGCATCCCTAGGCAGGATTCTCCCTGGCACGGCACCCACACATCATGCTCAATCCTGGCCAGGTCCCAGGCATGTTGGCTCCTGGGCTGGCTCTGTCACACTGCTGGAGGCAGCGTTGGACAGCAGCTGAGGTTTGAGACCAAGGCCACTCTTCAAAGGTCACCCCTCCCCAAGGCCCACACTTCCCACTGCGCCCCCAAAGCAGTCTGAGCAGTGAGGACCTCTCTGTACTAAGAAGGTTTGGACCAGGTGACCCTAAGCCTGTGCCCAGCTCTGACACCTGTGAATCTATTATCTCATCTGTTAGGTGAGGAAACTGAGGCATCATGGGGCTGACCCTGGTGCACAGATAGCCTGAGGGTCCCTGATGAGCTGATGGGGTGCTCCTAGCCAACTGAGACTCCCTTCCTTCTGTGTCCCTGTCTGGGGACCAGAAGACCTGTGGCTTCTCCTTGGGAGGCAGCAGTCATTGGAGCTGCCGGACATGGAGGAAGCAGCAGCTCCTGGGATTCCACTCTCTGAGTCACCGGCAGGGCTCAGAGGACTCTGCAGGAGGCTAAGGCTGCAGGAGGGGACAGGAGGGCAGGGCAGGGACACCACCCCATGTGTACCCCAGTGCCCCCAGCTGCAGGGTGAGGCTGAGCCCCAGGGATTGGGGGCAGGGTTCTCCCCAGTGTGCCCCCACTCATCAAAACTGAGCCCCTGCTCAGAGGTCACTGTGCTTGTCATGTCTCCTGAGGGGCAGGTATACCCTTTCTCTTTGGGTCAAGGAATGTGCCAGGCTCTTGCCCGGAATATTCTGCTGTATGGATTATTGCATTTAACCCTCCAATCTGGGCGAAGCCCTGTCCTTCTCCGAGCCAAGTCTGTGCCACAGGCTCCGTGGAGCTCCTGCTCTCAGGTTTATTATTCTCTCAGGGCTTCAGTTTCCCCATCTACAAAATAAATACCTGGCCAGAATCTAGGCTTTCTAAGGAGTTGGATACCTACCTCATAGGCTGGATACCTACTTCATAGGGTTTAACTTAGATCAGGTTGGGGCACAGTGGGAAGATGAGTTTGTTGGACTCTGCATTAGTCAGCTTTCTGTTGCTGTGATAAAACACCTGAGAAAAACAACTTCAAAGGAGGAGAGTCTTATTACGGCTCATGGTTTCATAGGTTTCAGTCCATGGTCACTTGGCTCCATCTCTTCTGGGCCGGTGGTGAGGCTGAGCATCTACGTGGGGAGTGTGTAGTGGAGCAAAGGTGCCCACCTCATGGAGAACAGAAGGTTGCAGAGAGCATGGAGCAGGGACACAATACAGCCTTTGGGGAGGGTTCCCAAGGACCTGCTTCCTCCAGCCAGGCCCTACCTCCTAAGTTTCCACCACTCCCCAGTGGATTAACCCACGAAGGAGGTCAGCACCCTCATGGCCCAATCACCTTCCAAAACCCCACCTCCGAGCCCCTGGAGGACACTTCCTATTGACATGTGACAGGTGACAGTGTTTTCCTTATCATTGTCTCTGGCCCACCCCTCTTGGGCGCAGTCTCTTGGCCCTGTGCTTGGCCTTCCTGTTCATTCCAAGGACCTTATAGCAGCCTGAGAAGTAACTTCTGGGGTGAGCACAGCTGCAGGCACCTGGCTCCCCAGAAGCCCATGGGGTCAATGTCACAGTCCACCCTTCATTTCTGTGGCTTCTGCACCCACAGATGCTACCAACAATGAATCCAAAGTATTTTTTTATAACAGCATTTGTACTGAACATGTACAGATTTTATTCTTATCATTAGTCCCTAAACAAAACAGCATAAGAACTATTTAAGTAGCATTTACTTTGTAGTAGGTATTATAAGTGACCTAGAGATGATTTAGAGTATAGGAGAAGGTATGCTTGGGTTATGGACGAACACTATGCCATTTAGAGAAGGGGCTGGGGCATCAAAGCTACAGCTGGCCCCTGCAGATGCCAAGGGAGGGCTGCACTTTTATCCCCAATTCACAGACAAGGAGGCTGAGATTCAGGGAGAGGAAGGATTTGCTCCAGGCTTCTGAAAGTAGTGGCTCTCTCTGTCCCAGGGCAGCGTGGCTCCTATTATTCACCACGGTCTGGAATGGTGTGGGGTGGGCTAAAGAGCGTTTCCCGGACAGTATCTCCCACCAGCCAGGGGCCTCAGCAGCCTGGGAGCAGGAGCTCTACTGAGCCCATGGCACAGACCTGGCTTGGAGAAGGACAGGACTTGGCCAAGACTGGAGGGTTAAATGCGATAATCCATACAGCAGAATATTCTGGGCCAGGGTCTGGCACATACTAAGTGATCAATAAACAGTATCTGCTATGATGAAGAACAGTAAATCGAGTTAGTCAAAAAAGACAGGTACAGGGCCGGGGATTTAGCTCAGTGGTTTAGCTGCCTGCTGCACAAGCGCAAGGACTGGAGTTCCATTCCCAGTACAAAAAAAAAAAAAAAAAAACCAGGCACAGTCAGCCAGGCAAGGTAGTGCACACCTATAATCCCAGCACTCTTGGAGACTGAGGCAGGAGGATTGCAAGTTCAAGCCCAGCCTGGGCAATTTAGCAAATTAATGAGAACTTGTCTCAAAAACAAAACAAAACAAAAGAAGAGTGAGGGATGTTGCACAATGCGAAGTCCCAGAGTTCAATCCTCAGTATCAAAAACAAGCAAACAAACAAAAACAGGCACAATGAATAAAGTTTAAAAAGTATACCCCCTGCCCTCTTCTTGCATGATCCTCCCCTTCAAATATATTTTAAGGCAGGTTTTAAAAGTTAAAATAAATAAAAAAAGAAGTTAAAATCTGTGCATTATCTTGGCCTGTCTGAGACATCACAAGACCCTCCCTTCCCACACACGCACACACTCTCCCTCTGAGGAGTGGAGATCATGCGGCTTGGGGGTCTCCTCTGTGTCTCAGGACCCCTAAGGGTGTGGCAGCTAACAATGGCAAACAAGACAGCCCCCCACAAATGTGGGGCCTGCAGGGAGGCTCAGCGAGAGGGGCCATGAGGAGAGGCACAGCCAGAGCTACCTGCACCAGAGGCCCACCTCCCCATGGCATCCAGCGTGTCCCTACACAGCCACTTCCTTCCCAGCCCTCTGGCAGAGATCGAAATGCAAGAGCGGCTGTCATTTTCACTCCCAGAACATCCTGATATGCGGTAGGGAAAGACATTTGGGAGCCCCAGAGGTGACAACGAAAGTGTGTGCTACCCAGAGTCATTAAAATGTTTTTATCCAAGCTGTGATACATTATAAGCCAATTTGAAAGTTGCATGCTGAGTCCCCGGAAGACATTATACACAGTCACAGAAGGATGGTACCGATTCTTCTTGGGGTACAGTCATGAGGGGAGCATGTTGAGGGTTCACTGCTACAATCAATTAAATGTATCAAGGTCCAGCACCTCTACTGAAGTGGCAAGGCGCTGGTCTTCTGGTTGC